TCTTTCTTCAGATCAGAGTCTTCCAATACTTTTTGGACGGGCTTCAGAGTGGCTCGGAAGAGATCCATGTTCAACTCCTCGAACTTGGCACGGGTAAGAGTTTCGGAGAAGTCCTCTCCATCCATGATGGATTCAACCTCAACCTTGACCTGGTGCTGTGTAGAGAGAGCTCTCTTGGCCTTCTCAACTTCACGACGGAGCTTTTGTACAGAACGTTTGTCCTTGCGAAGATCTTTGCCAGTCTTCTTCTTGTACAGCTTGATAAAGTACTCCATGACTCTCTGGTCAAAATCTTCACCTCCCAAGTGGGTGTCTCCGTTAGTGGCCAATACTTCGAATACACCGTTGTCGATGGTAAGCATAGACACATCAAAGGTACCACCTCCCAAGTCGAATACGAGGATGTTGCGCTCTCCTTCCTTCTTGTCAAGACCGTAGGCGATAGCGGCTGCAGTTGGCTCGTTGATAATTCGTACAACATTAAGTCCAGCGATGGTTCCGGCGTCCTTGGTGGCTTGACGTTGGGCATCGTTGAAGTAGGCAGGAACAGTTACTACAGCGTGTTTCACTTCCTTTCCAAGATAGGACTCGGCAATTTCCTTCATCTTTCCGAGAACCATAGCCGAAATTTCTTCGGGTGTGAACTGTTTCTTGTCTTTGCCAACATTCAAAGAAACGTGGGGCTTGTTGTTCTTGTCGACGATCTAAAACATAGATGATTTGTACTGTACATGAAAAAGGGAAATCGTAGAAACTCTATTTTCAAAACAAATCTAGTTTTAATATAACAGCAACAAGAATATGATTCACCTTGAAAGGCCACAAGGGGATATCGTGCTGTACAGTCTTGTCATTGTAATCACGTCCAATCAAACGTTTGGCATCAAAGACTGTATTTTCAGGATTGATGGTCAACTGATTCTTTGCGGCATCACCAATCATACGCTCTCCGGTGTCGCTAGCGAAAGCGACATAGGATGGAGTGATACGATTTCCTAGAAAATTTAGGAATGATATGGAATTTCTGAGATAACCTCCAAACAGTTTTCGAATCTTTGCCACCGGAGAAACTT